GCAGTTGTTGAGAACGAGGTGAAACGAGAATGCTTCACATTCAATAATTCTTTTTATTCATTCTAGACTTATCTGAATATCTCGCACGAAAAGTGAGTATTATTTACACTAGGGATCAGAGCGAAGAGAGTCTCAAGAGAAGGTGTATAACAGAGAATTGCCACTTTTTTTCGTTGTTGAGGAGAAGCTAGTATGAATACGAGGATATGGGTGTGTTATCCTTCTTTTCATTAACATCAACCAAACGTACACCCATCCACATCCACACCCACGCTCACACCCTCGTTGGTATTTTCCAACATGAATGTAGATTTTTTTCGAATATTACTCATATATCAGAATTTGATAGCTTGGCGAGCAAATCGATAAAACTCAGAGTATATTGTACGAAAAATCGATCCTTAAATTTTTTTCTTAGAGAGATGGTCTAAAAACTTCTATAAAAAATATCACGTCGAATGTTTAGACTCATAATTTCGTAGTGCTTATGTTGAAGATGATTTCTAATACGGAGGCTACGAAGACGATAAATTACATCCAATCAGACCATTCATGAAAACTCGACATTTTAACGCGTAATGATATGCACTTTTTACGCGTAAAAAAAATTGACTTTTCCGCTATTTGCCTGATTGGACAGTTACAAGCGGTATGAAACATTAGCACTTGTCATTGCTTTTTATTCTCTACGTTACTTACAGTGGGTATTTATCGTCCAAAGGCATTTTTTCATTCTGTATTTAGTGTTTGTCTTTGGTCTACCATTGTAATATGATTATCATCATTCATTTTTTTCCGCCTTTCTTTTATATAACCAACGTATACTCTGTTAACTGAGTCATATATTTTATTTTCAAATGTAAAAAATTATAACACTAGACCTATGAATAATCTTTATTTGTCAGAACATTCCTTGTCAATAGAATAAAAAGGAAAAAACTCACAATGCGTCATAATGAAAAATATGGTACTCAATCCAAAAAAATTGATGTATACTTGGAAATTTTCAATCATTTATCGTTTTTATCATGGATATATAAAGTAAGCAGTTCGCTAGTTACACTTAGTATATTGCAGCATACAAAAATATCTCAATAAGTACAAGCCTGAGTTGAATTTTACTCAATCCGATGTATATAAATGCACTTTTTTGTTGTAGAAAATGGCCAATCTTTCTGAAAGAGAAGTTTTCAGAAAAACAATTTATGCAGAAGCAAGAGGTGAACCTCTTGAAGGACAACAATGGGTTGCTTGGGTGATCAAGAATCGAGCTCGATTGAATAGATCTTATTGGGGTGGAAGTTCAATTAAAGGTGTCTGTTTACATCCTCAGCAATTTGAATGTTGGAACGGCAGATCTGACATTGAAATAAATGAACCAGAGGCATACGCAAATATCTCTCAATGGGCTGATAGAATTTTTGATGCAGATAGTAGTCAAGATCCAACTGGTGGAGCAGATCATTACAATAATCCAGACAAAGAAGGCTATCCACCTTGGACTCAAAATTGCCAAAAACTACGAAAAATTGAACATCATCAATTCTACAAAGGTCCCTAATGATGATGATCATCAAAAGCAATAAATTGAACATTCACATACTAATCCAGTTGTTCTTTCATGAAATTATTATATACAAGAAAATCTTTCTCTTATTTTCATTAAACTCACATGAATCTTGAAACATGTAATCGATCTATCAACAGTAATGTTTTATTCACATTAGAGATGTGAAAAACAAAATTTGCACGATACATAATTTATTGTAATTTGCAATGAAGAAAAGGCTGAAAACTGACGTTTTTCAGTGATTTGATAATTTTGAAAGTTCGAGGTTTTTGAGTGAAATCCAAGGCGGAAGAAGCCGAGTCTTTTTAGTTTTTTACATAAAAAAACTCAATTTTATCAAAAATATTAGTTTTTATTCAAATTAATCAAAAATAAGGTTTTTGCAGATAGTCATGTTTTATTTCCAGCATAAATTACCAGTAATAATCTCAGGAGTAGACATCAATGTAGCAGATGCATTACAATCGGTGTGGGTGTGGGTATGGGTATGGGTATGAGTATGGGTGTGGATGTAGGTGTGGGCATGGGTGTGAGTATTAGTGTAAAGAAGACTTTTATACTCGCACCCACCCGGACACAGACACCCATACCCCACACCCACACCCACACCCACACCCTTGAAGAAAGAGAAGACTGCAAGAGACAAAAGAATTGAATAATGTGTTTAATTGATCATCATCATCAACAAGAGCAGAGTTCATTATCTTTTAGTGTAATCCGTACGATAATTTTTTTTTTCATCTATCTGACGTAAATCAAAGCCAATATGATTATTTCCACTCATTAGACGTTTAGCTAATATTAAAAACGAGTTTTTTTTGTCTTTTCAACTATGTGAATTTTCTTTGACTTACCAAAAAAACTCATTTCTATTTGGACTATACAGACAGATGACCTTTTTAATCAACAGGCAAAATTTGCACTGTCAGCATTATTTGCTGTTTTCTCTGTCGCTTTCAGTTACTGATGCATGATGATAAGGCAAAAAAAAGAGAGCAAATAACATGCATATATTAATCTCTCCTGTATATAAATATCGCTTTTGACACATAACTGATTCTCTTTCTTCTTCACTGTAGTAACACGATCCATATTGAAAAATATCTATGTCAACATACAAACTTTATTATTTTAATGCTCGTGGTCGTGCTGAAATATCTCGTTTAATATTTGCTGCTGCTGGTCAACAATATGAAGATATTCGTTATGATTATAATGAATGGGCATTACATGCATGTGAAATGCCTTTAGGTGAAATACCTGTTCTTGAATTTAATGGGAAGAAACTACCACAATCATTAGCAATTGCTAATTTTCTTGCTAAACAATTTCAATTAACTGGTAGAGATAATTTTGAACAAGCACAAGTTGAAGCTGTTGTTGAAACAATTAGAGATATAATAGCAAAATATATACCAGTTCGTTGGGAAGATGATGAAATAAAAAGGAAAGAACTGAAAAATAAATTTCTTAATGAAGAATTACCTGAATACTTACATAAACTTGAAGTTTTAGCTAAACAATATGCTGATCGTGGTCCTTTTTTCGTTAATAATCGATTAACATGGACAGATTTACTCTTCTATAATACGGGAGAAAATATCCTTGAATTGGATCGAAATTGTTTAAATAATTACCCGTGGTTGAAGCAAAATCGTGCAGAAGTTGCAAGACAACCAAAAATTGCAGAATATCTCAGAAATCGTCCCAAAACACCATTTTAAAGAATGAAACTAATGGATGTTCATACATCAATATTTTTTTCTCTTCTATTTTGACGCCATTTAAATAAACTATTGAAACAAAGTTTCAATTACTTTCTTTCTTTATCTTATTGTATTGTATTCGAAATCAGCATTAAATTCTGAATAAAACGAGATATGTTTTTCTGTCGAAAAACGACTTTCATTTTTTACATGTAGTTTTGCACTTGTAGAGGATCTTAGGAACGTCGAAAAATTATTTTTTGAAATTCTTTTGACTCATACATCATCATATGCGGAATTTGATGTTGATTCTGAGTTTCTGGTCAAAATTCAAAAAGAATGGAACTTTTGCTGAGAAAAACCTATTTTACTGTAGGACGGTAGTAAAAGGCTGTTTCCAGTTGACGGTGTCAGGATACCTAGTAACGATACTATGAAGTCTAAAATGCATTCAGTCGTGTGTCAACCCAGAGATGAAACCGGTCATCAAAAATCGAAGCCGATTCCATCTCTGTGGAGACGAACGAACAAGCAGAGAAGAGATCATTCTAAAAATATTGAACAATTGTAATAGGATGTGGATGTGGATGTGGATGTGGATATAATAAAAGGTCTATACCGACATCCACACTCACACCCTCTTCGATAAGAATGTGTACACATGTCTTCTTTATCAAAAATCTACTTATGAAACAAGATATTCATGCGCTAGAGAGGAAAAATAAATCAGCACGCTATCAAATGATCACCAGAAATAGCAGAACGAACTTGATGCTCAGACTTAATTGTCTTCTTTTATATTTTGAAAAATATTTCTTTTTTTTCGAATACAGAATTCTGTCTGTTCTCATGAAATAACAGAGTAATTGATGATCAGAGATATCAAATCGCAACACATTGATTATGACTATCACTATCGAAGATATCACAAATGTAACGTCGAATCTTTTGCCTGAATAGTTCATTGGTTCGCTCTTAACAAAAACTCTCTCGAATTATAGAGAGATATTCTACATCTTATCGTCTCTACTTCATTTTTTTTTGAAAGTCGAGCAGTCCCTCAAACAATGACTAAAACTCGATTCTTTCATAGGAAAGTTTTACATAATTTTCTTGAATCTCTCAGTTTAATCATAATAGAACTATCTCAATAGAACAAGAATTAGAATTACTGACTCAAAAATCAATAATATTTTTTGTTGCATGATAACATCAACTATTATGTCTTCCGGAAGCGTTTTGAACAATATCGAGTTTTGTTATGCCGTATTGTTAATAGCTACATGAAAAATTTTATTAGACGAAACAATTATTGAACTGGAGATATTCTACAGGATATATTTTTCAAAGGTAATTCGACAAAAAGAAACATCTCAAAGAAGTTTTTGCGACGTTCTTAATCTTGAAAATTTCGATTAACTACGTAAGAATCAAACGTTAAAAAATGGTGACATCGAAATTTTTATTGATATAACCTTTTACAGAATTTTATTAGATTTCTCCGGACTGCTTATCACCGATAACGTTTGAAAAAATGAAATTTTTATATAAAAGAAAAACTCTTTGAAGTCAAATAAATACAGCGGAGAAAATAATCCAAACAATATCTTTTTACCATTCCTAATCAATCAACTAAAATCAGATGTCTTTATTCTGACCTAACAAAAACCTTTTCACATTTCACTTACAACTAAAGCTACAAGTAACGCTCGTCGCTTCGACTCGCTTAGCCCTCGACTGAAGAGTTAAATTTATTTATATATCATTTTATTTTATTTCTCTGATATAACTGATGTTAACATCAGACGTAACCGAGTATCCGTGTTACAGTGCTATGATCCTAATCTGCAATAGTATAGTTAACTTAGAATTTTAATCATTCTCAGAATTAAAATCGCGACTTTTCTCGACTGCTGATAGAGCAAAGCGTGTTCAAAAATAGTGCCGTGGAATTCTCTCTTGTGCTGTATAATAGATAGAAAAATGTATTTACTTGTTTCATGGCTAATAAAATGAGCAAAGATTAATCTTTTAATGAAAATTTATCAAGAAAAATAAATAAAAGGTACACTCATCTGTGTCATATTATTACGTCTTCTGATCTTCGACCTTTGAACCGACGGCAAGCAAACAAGCTATCTTTTTTTCATATGACCCTTCCTTCAGTCGAGGAAATAGCGTTTACTCAAATGCATGAGCTCCTCGTAATCTCATGGAACAGGCAATGCACTCACAAAATACTGATTGACTTAAAGCCCAGATTCTCACAACCTAATTGGAAAAAAGCTAGGTTCCGGAAAACGTTTCAATAGCTTAAATTTCACGCAGATACAATTTGATTGGTCGAAAACCCAATATCGAGAACCCAGATTGGCTGAATTTCGAGCTGAAAAACATCTGATTGGCTGAATTTAAAGCTGAAACAATCTGATTGGTCGAAAGCCCAACATCGAAAACCCCCAATTGGCTGGATTTCCAAGCAGAAAAATTCTGATTGGTGGAAAGCCCGATATTGAAAACCCCTGATTGGCTGAGTTTCCAAGCTGAAAGTACATGATTGAACTGATGTCAGATATCGAAGATACCCGAGCATTGATCTTTAAGCGAATGTTCTTTTAACCCTGATGTTCTTTTGACCCTGCGACAAGCAAACGGACAAACTATTTTTTTTCATATGACCCCCCCCCCCTTCAGTCAAGGGAATAATGTTTCTCAGTCCACTAATATAAAACTAATTACAAAAGAATAATTAAACTATTGCGAAGAAGCATTACGATTGAGAATGAATCTTTGATTGAATTTCACTTTGTTTCTAATCTTATTGCTCTATGTATTTTTTTCGCCCAATTCTATCGTTTACATAGAAAGTCGGGTATGGGTTTGAGTATTCGTAAGAGCTTATCTACACCCACATCGACAAACTCACCTATACCCAGTTCGGGTCGATGCTATGGTTACCGAATACGCTTTGTCGAATGAGAGGTATATTCAGGAGTCTCCACCTTACACCTCACCAAGAAATAGAAATTCGCAATTTGATTGGTCAATTAAAATGGACCAATCAGATTTCAGAAGGTCTTTTCTCTCTAATTTTAAGGACAAGTTCGTGTCATGTTTGAGTTGATCCTAGGACACCAAGGTTCTCTTCGAAATGGCCTTTACATCGGAGTGCTCGGGTTTTCGTATAGTTCTGAAATGGTGTCGGGATATCTGATTTGTGGGTTAAGATGTATCGATAATCTGTTAGAGCATGTTGAATTAGTGAATGGCCTGGAAGGGTGACTGTTTGCGTGAGTCGTTTGGAATGGGTGTATAATCAGGTAAATGGTTGTTGACGATCGGTGGATATAGTATCTGGTAACATCTAGCGTATACGGTACATTAGAGTGGTTTATTATGCTCCTGTTTACGGTCGCCGTATTGCTACGATGCTCGTGAACGGCCACTGTTAATGGTAATTGTTTCCGATCGTCGTAATACACCGTATGGTGCCGTTAACGATTGATGGGAATCAGTGTCGTAAACAGTTAACGTATACGACGTCTTATGATGTTTCATAAGGAACGTGTACGATCGGCCGTATCGTTGTGCTAGTCGTTGACAATTGTTGTAAACAGTCACAGGAAACGGTAACCATTATCCACCGTCATTGGTTGGTGACAGTCGTGTACGGTCCAGCATGATTGACCTGGAATGTGTTATGTATTGATTTGTCAGTGAAGATGAAAGGTGATGTTCTTATTGTTCACATTTACTCTCTAACTCCACATCAACCTATACCTAATCATAAACATTCACATTCTATGTTTATTCTATTACATTACAGGGTTGACGAGTCGGTATGCGTGATGGTCGTTTCTCACTACGCACAGCGTCAAGAAAAGTATTTCATTATTATTGCCTTTTTTTTTCTCACGTATATGTGCAGTTTTGAATGCAAGTTTATATAAGGGTTTGCAAATTGATCAAGTATTGTTAAACTATCATGAATGTCAGCATCACTTTTTTTTTATAAATGGCAAGCGTCAGTCAATGTTTTATCACTTCAAGTTGTAAAATATGTCGCCTGCTGATGCTATTGAATAAAATAGGAAGTATGGACAAATAATGATCATAGGTGAGGAAAAAAACTGCGAATTGTCAGCGTTTCATATTTTCTAGAAAAGAACTAAGCAGATCAATCAAAATATAATTCAACTAGAGCGTGTTAGCTTCTTCGAGTCGTTTCAATTAAACGATCACGATCAATAAATACATCAATATTTGACTAACCTTTTACTATGAATTGATTCATAAAGTAATAATATTCTTTTTTTTTAAATAAAATCGAAAATTTGTCAACATGTCTTCATTATGATTCAACAAATGTCACAATGAACATTAAACAGATATAATCTATTACTGCTAATACATAACAGCTCTTATTTTGAATAGTATTATCAATTGTATAAAAGGTGTATCACTAACATACTTTATTAACGTAGTCATACGAATGATAATTTATGAACTATTAAGTTCTTAGTTATCAACTATTTTTCTGAGTTAGAATGTTGGACAAACAACACTAAACGATTAGTAAAATTTTATTACAACAGAAAGATAGTGATTCACATTCGTTCTTGAGAGAAAAAATATAACTTAATTAATGTTATTTTATTGAGTATAATATATGAGACTAATTGACGAGTCGTTACAACCAAATACCTCTACCTTGTGTTGGAAAAACAAAATTAAAACCAAGACTAGTAGCACTGTTCAGTTCTTTGATAATCGTGTTTCTTGCATTTTTCTCTGGTTTAATATGTGTAATGATGATTTTGACGTTGTTGATCTTGTGATATCTTCTCAATACGTTAAGTTCTTTCAAAAGCCATTCTGGTGTCAAATGTCCGAACAATTGATTACTTGAACGTCCATTTGGATATGAAACTTCAATGAAAATAGCCTTGAGCTTGCGTTCAGCGATCAATGGAGTTATCGCTTGCCATAATTGTTTAAGATAACCAGGTGAATACGTTCTGTTATTGGGCAATGTCATTTTCTCGACATCATCAGGACCCGTATCACCTAGATAGAGCACGGCTTCTGAAGAATAGGTGCGACGAGAAATTAAGAAAGCTGAACTGAGAAACGGACAAATATGACAAAGACGAAAAATGCGTACATCGAAATCCGTACCCGGTATCGGAACCGAAGTAGATGAGAAAGGATCAAGTATTTGATAATTGTATGTCTAGTTAAGAAAACTAAACTAAATAATTGCTTGTAATTTGAATATTCACATACTTTTAGACCTGTTGGACCAAAATTAATCCATGCTTTGTTATTATAATAATGATCTTGAATGATTTGAATTGTTTCATTGAGTCCAACGATTACTTTTTCTGCTTTATCATTTGGATTATTGAGTAGAAATCCTGAAACATGATCAAGATGACCATGTGATATTAAATAAGCTTTTATTTGATTTCGAATGAATACATCGATATCTGTATCTTCTGGTAATGATTTATGTTCGATCGCCATCCTAAAAATACAAAATATGTCCAGTCATTTTTACATCCTCGATACAATAGTAAAATAATTCTTCTACTCGATTCCATGACGTATGGTACCACAATCGAGAGCTATATACGTTGATGATGGAATGTAATCATTTATTGATGCAAGTAGATATGATGAAAGATTGTCTTCTTCAAGACCACCACTAGTGCCAAGCGGAAGAACATAAAAAGATGGAGATAACATTCTAGTATGCATTGCTTTCATTTCAATAGCACTTTTCATAAGTAGAAGTACAAGACAACTCAATAACTTCATTATAAATTCCCACTGATGTTTCAATACACGCAAATTTCTATCTAAAATTTCTATCTAAAATGTGAATAAAATGAAACAAAAAAAAGCTTATTATCATTAATTTACAAGAAAATCCAAAATACACTCAAGTTTATCGCCATATGACATCGATAGAATATTTAGTAAGCAAGATCTTTATTCCAGGACAGTTGAACAATAGTTTTGAAATGTGTTAAAGTAAATGTGCCCTGTAGAATTGAAACATTTCACCATTTTTTGAAATTCATGAGGCTTTTTACTATGCTTATTCTTTATTTTTCAAATCTCAAAATATTTTTGTTATTAAAATGATTACCGTAGACAATGGTAATAAAATGTTCAATGATCCAGATACTTCGAATAATTCTTATTACGTTGTTGATGATGATTCATAAAAGTGTCAAGTTAAATTCGTACAATTTATTAGTGAATACTTTCGTTTGATCGATTAATATGACTATTTTAGACCATTTGGTACCATTTCTATTCGTTACATGTATACTAAAAACAAAGTAATGGCATGTCTAAAGGAACACTTTCGATACCTGACTGTAACCTTGCGAAAGAGCAACAGAAAATAAAAGTTTATTACGCCTAAATATCAAGTCGATCAAAGACACATATGCATTCGTATGTTACTAGAAAAAAATGTTTAGTGATGTGAAAATCATACCACAAACAAAAAAGTCGAAACCATTTTTGGCTTTTTAAGTTTTATAGTGTGCTCCTTGTGGTAGGATGAAAAGTATTTTCTATCCGATTGAGTTCTTTGATTTAACCGACCATGCAATATTTATCGTCAAAGAAACAGCATATTTCAACTGAATAAGAGAAAAACATTCGCATACAAAAAAAAAACTATGACAATAGTGAAGCACTAAAAATTTGTGTACAGGTATAGTTACGAAGTTTTCAACGCATAGACGGGAAATAAAATAGTAGAAATATTCTCTTCTTATAAATACTAGTACGTGCTTGTTAAAGAGTTGAGAAGATTGCTGCTAATGAAAATTTCTATGCACATTTATTCACGTACACGAATGAAAGAACACGCGTTTGTGTGGGCCTCATATAGAATGCCATTAATACATGCGCATTTAAATAAAAGAATCACTTTTTTAATGTGCATTTGTAATAGTTCTTAACAAGAGTAAATAATTTTTCTTTTCAAACATTCTTTGCTCACAGCCAATCATCAAAATACACCCAACATATTCTAATATCTCACGTAAAAATGAGTGCTGGGTGTGCGTATGCGTGTGGATGTGAGTGTGGGTGCGGGGTGTGGCTGTAAGTGCTGCAAAATAAGACACCCACAACATACTCACACCCTAGCCGATTGAATAGATTGCAATCGATTAATGATTAAAATTGAATTGCTACTCCGGTAACTGTTGTTAATGAATTCAAACTCTGAGGGGTTGCAGAATTCTTTCCAAGCAGAATTCAGAATTTAAAAGTTGAAGCGGTAAACAATGGATTAGTTTCCTAATGTATATTTCCCTTAGCTAATAAATTCCTAATCACTACACTCAGAATTTCACCAGAATTCTGTTACCACTAACAGAATATAAACTTTCAGTAGGAATCCTAGAATAGGATATCCCCCAAGAGAAAAATAAGGGTGTGGGTGGGGTGGGGGTGTGTAGGTGTGGGTGTGGGT